CCCAGCCTTCACAATTCCTGCCTGGCAGGCCAGCTTCAACATTCCATAGCCAACCTTGCCTGAGCCAGACTTGGGCCCCATTCCCTCAGTTTCTCCAGTGGTGGTTTTCTATCTTGCATGCTGTTGAGTCCAGCCCAGTGGCCAAGTGAGGAACACGGGGGTTGGGACTGGCCGCCACAAAGCCAGAAAGGGAAACTAGAGCTCTTGTTTCCCATGGCTGCATCCATAGTCCCTGGGCATTCATGTTGCGGTGGTGGGGCCCTGTACCCATCCCAGCTCCTGGTAAAGTGGGTACTCTCTTTCCTGAAGAGAACAGATAATAACAGCTTTGCAGATAAGTACCAGCCCATAGGAGTCAGATGGGTGAAATCCTCTTTGGGCCGGATCCCAGCAAGACCAGCAGCTCGAGGCTCTAGCCTTCCTCCTCATGCCTGTGAGTCAGGGAAAGAGTGGGAATGCCCACAGACCACCTTCTCGGGTCAGCCAGATCATGTGGATCTGTGAGGGGACTCCAGCTCCTCCTTACCCAAGGGGAGGTAAGGCCAGGCCTCTAGCAACCTGGAAGTTGTCTATAATGACCTTTAAAGGCCCAAGGGTCTGTCCTCATCTCCTGACTAAAAGGCATTGCATCCCTATTTCATATCACATGACAGAGAAACCTGTTCTTGTGGCATGTAACATCCCTGTAAGAGCATTGTATATGATTTTGTATTTTTTAATTAATTTTAATCTACAGGTTGGAATCTAATTTTTAAATTTTATTGGAACTCACATTTTAAAGAAAAACATTTAAAATAATAATAATAATAAACCTTTGACCGGTGTCTTCCAAGTAGTTTGATCAAAGAACTTATAAGTGTTTTCAAAACAGCCTGGAGTGTAAAGATTGGAAAGTCCCATGGCCTCGCCTTGTGTGTATGAAGTGTAAATCTGGTTTTGTTTTGTTGTTTTGGATTCTTTTGGGTTTTTGTTTCATTTTATTTTGAAGATCAGATAGTGATCACTCTGAAAGATTGAAGCCAAGAATTTGTAACTATGATATTTACTGTAAGCTGTAGAACATTCAATAACTATTAAAAAAAAAAAAAAGTTTCCAAAAACTTTTTGGAAAAGTCCGGGGTGACCAGACTGGTGGTTCTTGGGGCAGGGAGACACAGACCACTGCTTAGGCCAGTGAATTCCCTGGGTTTCTTCCCAAGCTCATTCTGAACTTGTTTTCACCAGTCAGGTAACACCTATGGTGCATCTCCCCGCAGGCGTAGCAGGGCTTCCCTGGGATTCAGCTGAGGGGCCTGGGAAGTGGCCCTCAGCACCTGGATTAAGGTGGGTGATACATGAGCCCTCAGGGGCCACGAATGATGAGGACTGCCGTCTGCCGAGGGCCTACCATGGGGCCAGCACTGTGCTTTATGTTGGGTAACTCTCCTAATCCTCACAGCCCAATGGGAGGTGAGCCGGTCGAGAGGGTGCAGCCGGAGAGTAAGTAACTTGGCCAAGGTCACAGAGCTTGGAGCTCAAGGTTCAGAGGTGGAGCTCACACTTAGTCTAGCTCCACAGGCCAGGCACTGAGTCCCACATTCTGCCCACCCTGGAGGAGGCAGTGTCTGTGTTTAGTTAAAGGGTGAATTTGTCAGGTGGAAAACCAAGGGAAGAGCTTACAGGTTTGTAGTCACAGAATGACAGTCAAGGGAAGTCAGGTGGTCTCCATCCAAAGAGTCACATGCTGTCAGTTTCTATCCTGAATCTCTTCCTCCTCTCCCCTCTGGGCAAAGCAACTGCCCTAGTCCAAGCCCATGCTTTTCCTGGTCATTGTGGCCACCATGCTCTCCCAGCCTCTAAGTGTTCAACCTCCTCAACTGGAGAGAAAATGGAGGCCCCACTGACCTGGCCCACACTAGAGCTATAATTACAATTCAGGACTCCTAAACTCTCCTTTTCTGCCACCCCGTGCCCTGTGCCTTTGCAGCATGCCCCCCCAGTTTCCCCTCCTGTCCTCACCTGACAGGGAACTCATTCTCCCTCCCTTGCACAGTGGAAAGCTCTATCAGATGTTGGAGTGGAGGGCACCTCTGGCCACAGACTTGGTCGGGCTGTGTCAATAGCAGTTTCTCCAGGGCAGGAAAGGGATTTTCCCCAGGGACTCAACTCCAGGTCACAGTGGTAGGACTGAGGGCCAGGAGCAGGCAGAGAGGTGGAGATCTGGGCCCCCATCCTCACTCGTCTGGTCCCTGGGGCGACAGGTGGAGTAAGGAGAAGTCAAACTCAGAACTCCCCTCAGCCCAGTGCCCCAGCTTGTCCTCCAGCTCCCAGGACTGCCAAGATTCAGAGGGGGCAAGCCTAGGAGGGGACAGGCCAGGAAAACTTCCAGATGAGTGTGGGGGCCCTGAAGGCTGCCAAGGGCATTGGATGTACCTCTACCTGATCCCTCAGCAACTCATCCCATCCTTTTGGGAGCTGGCCCCAAGGGACAGGTGAAGAAATTTAGGCCAGAGTCCTAGTTTTACCTTCCAGCAAACAGACCAAGAGGGGTGGGGGTGGTGGTGCTGGAGGGGAGCTGTGCTTATTACCCCAGGGGCCAGCACCATGGTGGGGGTATCTCTTACCTGGCCTGGGAAGCCCAGACCCAGCCTTAGTCTCCACACCAAGATGGCATTTGGAGTCCACAGTCCAGCCTTTCCCTGGGAAAGGAGGCCCTAGAATGGGAGGGACCACCTCCCACCCTATCCACCCAGGGTACTGGCTCTTGCTGTCTCATCATCTTGGTGTGTCATCCAAGTCCTGGGTGAAGTGGGGTTGGTTGGCTGAGGGGACAGCCAAGTTTGAGAAACCAAACCCCAAGATGCAGCCAACAGTTGACAAAGAGGGACACCAAGCGGACCCTGGCAGTGCAAGGGAACATTTCCTTAAAAGTGCTAATGATGCCCACTAGTCCCCTACAACAGACCCCTGTTCTAGACTTTGGCAACCTTTCATGCTCCAGAAAATTCCTCCTGATGTGCAGCCTGCCTCCTTTCCTCCTCTTCCCTAGAGCAGGTAAAGCTTTGCCGCCTAGGCCCTAAGACGTGCCCTCCCTTTCCTGCACATCTCAGAAGCCTGAGAGAGAGAGAGAGAAGACTGTGTCCTGGACAGCCAAGAGGCAGGGACAGAGCAAATCTCAAGGCACAGCTGCCCAGCTTCTCTCGGCTGGAGTTTTCTGTGCTGCTGCTGCGCCAGACCCCTGCCCATGGCTTCCATACAGGAGGAAGGCCTCCGCCCATGGACAAGATGGTCCTCTCACCCTGGCGTCCTGCCATGACCCCAGCCTTGGGGGAGCCTTGGGGAGCCCTGGCCGGGTTGGGCGGGAGTTGGGTGGCGGGGGCAGCAGCAGCTGTGGCCTCAGGGGACAGCAGCACCTCGGGCCGCTTCTGGCTACAGCGGGAGCAGCAAGGACAAGAGAGTGAGCTGGGCCTCTTGTAGGCCCAGCCTGACAGCCGCCCTCCCCCGGCTGCAGCAGGCCCAGAGCTCCCCCAGGCTTCCACACCTCCCCAGGCTCGCGCAAGCATCAGTAGCTGGTTCTTCAGCCTCTCTTTGGGACTCTCCCATTAACATCTAAATGTCTCCTTCCATCTTTAAAAAATACACCAAATACCCAGAGAACCCAGAATTAACTAAAAAATCTTCTCTCCCTGGAGCCTGAGTCTCCACCAGCTATTACCTGGCACAGTCTGGCTTCTGCAAGGAGCTCACTCCACTCAGACCTGGTCCTGCTCTCGCCATGTCTCCATGTCCATTAACCAGGGGCTGCAGCAGTCCTGACCCCGTGGCGACCCCTGGCCTTGTGACCTACCCTGCCCTTCATTCTCCTTCCCTCGCTTTGCAGGACACCTCTCCCCTTCCCACCTCTTGGCAGTGCCCCTGGAACCGCCAAAGGGTCTGCCCGGAGCCCTCTCCTGGGCCAGTCCTGGTCCAAATCCTACTTAAGTGCTTCTAGATATTCTCGTAGCCCAGATCGGTGTCTTGAGCACGTCAGGCCTTCACATCCAGATGCGGTGGGGGCTGTATCACAGCTGTCCCTAATCCTTTGACCCACATCCCTTTACCAAGCCCTAGCAGTTCCGTCTTAGAGGAGTCTCTTGGATTCCCCCCACCCGTCACGCCCACACAGCCCAGCCTCCACCATCTCTTGCCTGGACAGCTGCAACAGATTCCTTGCAGAACTCCTGCTCCCTCCTCCACACCGTGGCCAAGAGCAAGCTGACCAGCCCTGCTTTTCTCCTTCCTAAATGCCTTAAGAGGTCCCCTGCCATCCCTGGCCCAAGGGCTTCCAAGAGCGCGTGGGGCTGCCTTTCTGGTGCCCACCCCCACTCTAGTCCCCACAGCTGTCCCCTTCCACTTACAGCTTCTCCAGTTCCTTGTGGTGCCCCCGGGCCTCTGCACATGCTCTGCCCTCTCTGGGGACCATGCTCCCCTTCCCACATTCTCCAGCCCCCGATGTATCTTACTTACCCATCCATCTTCCAGGCTCCACGTCCTCTAGAGCTGTGCTGTCCAAGACAGGAGCCACTAGCCACATGTGGCTACGGAGCCTTCAATATGCTAGTGCATATTAAGATGTGCTTTAAGTATAAAATACCAGATTTCAAAGCAAAAAAATTAATGGCTCATTCATAATGTTTTACTGACTTTATATTGAAATGAAAATATTTTAGAAACACTGGCTTAATACATTATTGATACTCTCATCTTTTTTTAATACTATTTAAAATGTGGCTATTAGGAAATTTTAAATTACATACATGGTATGTACTGTATTTCCATTGGACAGCACTGCTTCTAGGGGCTTCAGTGAGAACCCAGTGAGGCGAGGGGCCTCCCCACTTCTGCCCCATGTCCGCCCGCTACAGAGCCGGCCCTGCAAGGGGAGGGATGGCCTGTCCCCCACACGGTACCTGACACAGAGGTATTTGGTGAACGGACGGACAACCTGGGAAGAGGCACAGGGAAAGAAGCTCCTCATGACACCACTTTCCCACCTTTTATTATCCAATAAATGGATGGGAATGTAGACAAGGACAGGACAACAGCAAATTTTCAATAAATAAGAGAAATGGGGATGGCAGTGGGGCCCATGCCTGCACGGCCCCACATAAATAACCAGGTCACTGGGCTAGAGTGGACAAAGGAGCTGGGCTGGGCAGTCGCCCGCACTGACCAGCTGGGGGACAGACACCAACACCACAGGGACACACAAACCACCGAGGCCAGAGGTGCCTCTCCAGCCCCGCACACACCCCTCTCCCTGAATGCTCCTGAGATCTTGGGGTGGCTATGCAGGCTGGCACCCTGTATCACAGCCCTACCCAGGTCGAGACTGTGGTTCCAATTTCAATAAAAATAGGGAGGGGGGCAGATACATGCATTAAGCCCCTTCCGTAGGCAGAGCCAGGGATGGGCAGCCCCATGGGGGCCTGAAGGCACAGGCCCTGGAAGCCGCAAAAAGGGGGCCATAGATAAAGCTACTAATGGGAGGGGTGGCAAGGAGTCAAGCTCTCCCCGCACACGACCCAGGCCAGAGCCTGCAAGGAACCAGAGAAGCCCTGGGCCCCGAGACACCTTTCTCTCCCCACTTCACGGTCAGAAGGACGGTAACCAGGTGATGGCCAGGGACTTGCCCACGGTTAGAACCAGGGAACTCAGTCTCCAGCCCACGGCTTTTTGTTGCCTCTTCCCTTCATGGGGCCACTGGAAGAGGAGGGAGAGGTCCACGCTAGGGCCCTGCACAGAGGGCGGGGGCAGTAGATTACCAAGGTGTGGGGCCGGGGTGCCAGGCAGAGGGCCCCTCCGCACTGCCAAGGCCTAGCCACCTGGTACAGAGGATCCTGCAGGGTCCTAGGATCAGGGCAAGGCACAGGGGCAGGGGAGGGGCGCTCAACCTGCTCCTGCACGCAGCACCCGCCAGCACCGGCCTCTGCACGGGGGCGGACACTCCCACCTCCAGGCCTTGGCCTTTGCTCTTCTGTCTGCTGGACCGTTGCTTCTTGATCCTTATGGGCCCAGCTGCAGCTCTGCCTCCTCCAGGAAGCCTTCAGAACCTCCCAGGACAGGGCCGCAGTGTCCTCAGCTGAGGCAGACCATCAGATAACCAGGTTGCTCTCACTTAGCCGGACCACATAGCGGTTCTCCTGGGCGACAGAAGTGAGGGGTCAGAGCTGAGTCAGGGGGCTTCCGGGCTCCAGGAAAGCGGCCCCTACCCAGGGCTCCCTGTACCTCCAACCCTACCCCATCCGCAAGTCCGGGTTGGTCCAAGTGTCAACAGATACTCACCCCCCGCTCTGGGCCTCACCTCAGCCTTGTTCTCTGCCAGGGGCTTCAGCCACTTAGCATGGCTTCCACCACTTGCCAGCAGGGCCTGCTGCTCAGTGGGGAGGCCGGGTTGTGGGGAATCAGGGAGGTCACCCCCCGAGGGCCCGGCCTCCGTGATAGTCTTCACCTCAGAGGCTGCTGAACTTGACCGCTGCTCCGGAATTCGGGCCACTCGGAACCTGTGAGGAGTGGTGGTGCAATGATCCCCCCATTAAAGAGGGAACCCTGGGTATAGAAAGGGCAGCGCCTGCTAGGGTCCTACACCAAGGTCATGGGTCAGAGCCTGAGCCCATCCTATATCCTCCTACCCACAGATGAGCCCCCAGCCACCCCCAGCCCTAGGTTGTAGGCAAACAGTCCTTTGGCCTGAGGGCTCCAAGGTGTGATGGAGGCCAGGACCATGCGCTGGGGCCCAAGGGCTCGTGTGAGACACAGCAGAGCTGGGAAGACCTGACGTCTCCCTGACCACCCCACCCCCCTTCTGCCCAGAGAGGGGCCATCCCTGAACGGGCTGTTCAGGGCTCAAATAGGGCCCCGTCTCCCCGACCCTGGCTATAATGTCTCTCCCCGACCCTCCTGCGTCTCTGCCCATCTCACCTGCCCACAGACAAGATGGTGATCTCGCCCTGGCGTCCTGCCTTGGCCCCCGCCTTGGGAGCCCTGGCCGGGTTGGGCAGGAGTCGGGGAGTGGGGGCAGCAGCAGCTGCGGCCTCAGGGGACAGCAGGACCTCAGGCCACTTCTTCTGGCTACAGCGGGAGCAGCAGGGGCCGGAGAGCGAGGCCAGGCCCTGCACGGTGTGGAGGTGGTGGCGATGCAGGCAGATGTGTGGCGTGCTGGGGGGGCCTGGCGGCAGCCTGCACAGGGCACAGGTGGGCACGGTCACCAGGGCAGGCCCATGCCAGGGGGTCCCAGGCGGTAGCGAAGGGCACTCAGGGTAACGTGAACACACCCGAGTGGTGACTCCCCCAGGAAGCAGGCTGATTCTGTATGGGTTTGGGGCACCTGCGCACTCACCTGGGCACAGGCCTGTGGCTGGTCTGCACCAGCTGTTTGCTGTGATACTCCTTCAGCAGCTCCTCCAGGGCCGCAGCATTCTCTGTGGGCAGCGGCCGTCAGAACCCAGCTCCGGGGTGGCGGGGGCGGGGGGGACGGGCTCCCCATGCCCTCCACCCCCCGCCCCAGCCGGGGCCTAGCACCTTTCCCTCCACCTCTCATCAGGCAAGAACAAAAAGAAAAGGGGCAGAGCAGGGTGGGACTCTGACCCCCATGGCTGCCTCAGGCTCTGGGAGGAGACCGTCCTCGCGTGGGCTTGGCCATAGGGTCAGACCTTCCCCTCACCTTTCTTCTCTGTGATCAGGCGGACCAGGACCCCGATGGTGTCCTCGTTGGCATCTTCAGCCCTGTAGGCGGGGTTGATCCCTGTGGAAAAAAAGCGAGAACTGTGACCCTGGGGGGGAGGGGGAGTTCATTGGGGGAGACTCCGGGCTTGACAGCTCCCCCAAGATGTGGCAGCAGAGGGCACCCCAGGCCTCCCGACGAATTGTGCTGCAAGCCTGGGTGTTTCTGCACTGGGGGCCCCCCAGGCCTCAGCTCATTATCACTGCTCCCTGCAGAGTTGAGAGGGGGCAGGCTTTTCTGGGGCCTGTTGTCTCCCCTCCACAGCTTCAGGGAGCTGTGGACTTTCTGCCCAGAACCCCCAACAACTCAGGCAAATTCTGCCATTCCAGGCTTCTCACATTTCCCTGCACACCACCCTGTCCACATAACTGAGGGCCATTAGAGGGCCCAAACCTCAAGAGCATGAGAATGAGCCACGTGACCAATCCGAGGCCTGCAGCAAACAGCTCCTAGACCTTGCACCCAGGCAGCAGCCAGCAGTTAAAGGAAGACCTAGGCTACGATAACAAGTGCGGCCCCAGGTAAAATGGCCTGAGCTGCCGTCTTCCAGGCCCCTCTAGACTGCAGTGTCAGGAGGTGGGAAGGGCTCTGGCCAGCTCCAGGCAGCCTGTGGCACAGGCATGGGAAGCACCATTTCAATCCTGACTTGGCCACAAGGCTCGTTGGGTTGTGTATGCACACTGGGGACCCCGGCCCTACCGGCCTTTAAGGGACCCGGGGGGGTGGTGGTGCGGAGGAGAAAAGGGGCCCAGGGCCCTGGGGCAGGGTTGCGAGGAACACATCTCTCCCTCTGGTTCCAGGACTCCTAACTCAAACCACAGCCTGGAGCTGAAACCCGAGTCCCTCGTGGGGCCTGCCAAGCACAACTGCCCTGCCAGTGGCTCAAGTCAGAGGTCAGCTTGAGTTCCCAGAAAACATTCCAACCCTTGAACCACATACACACAACTGCAGCCCCCGTGGAGTCCGGGCCCCTACAGCTAGGCAGGGCCTCCCCCAGGGTGAGAATCATGCTGAAACCACTGGACTTCTGCTCTGCCCCTGTCACCACCTCAGGCCACTTCACCTCTCATTCCACGGTGTCACTCTGTAGGGTCTCCTCTCAAGCCCGCATGCTGCGCCTCCGGGAAGCCCTCCTGGTTAGCCCTCTGCAGGCCCCTCCCCGTCAGACCCTATAGGCCAACAGGTTCCCTTGCGCAGCACCGCCCCCAAGCTGGGCTGGGCTGGGCTGGTCCGTGCCCTCTGGCCTCCCCACCCAGACGCCAGGCCAGGCCTCACCGCTGCCTCCACCTCCAGGGCCGGGCCCGACCTCCTTGTGGGCCGTGCAGTGGTAGCCCTTCCGCTTGAGCAGGTTACACACCAGGATGCCCAGCAGCCCCATGAGGCAGAAGACAGGCACGATGGCAATGACCGCGTACTGGGCCGCCGTCTCCTCGGGGCCGTCGGCCCGGGTGCCATTCCCAGGCCACCGCGTGTCCCCAGCGCGGGTGGCCCCTGCTGCTACCTCCACGCCACGTCGGGCCCGCCGTCCCCGCTCTGAGCACCGCCGAGGATGGAGGCATGGAGGAAAGACGGAGGCAGAGAGGCCCAGGGCCTGAGTTAAGGGGGGTGTGGGGCACGAAGGTGCGGGAGCCACCTACCGCCCACTTTCCACCGTGCTCGGGAGGCAGCGGCCAGCTCCCCGCCAGCACGTGTTTTGGGTCATCTTATCAGTCAGCCGGAGCAAGGCCTCCCCAGACCTCCGGACAGCCAGGCCCTGAGCCCCGTGGTCCATCCCCCTCACTCTGGGGTGAACAGACGGCTCACAAGCACATGCCTGGGCACCTGGGCCCCGGCGGCCGCGTCCCCACGACTGGGTCCATGTGGGAGCCGCCTCAGAAAGCGACTGACGACAGTGAGAGGTGTGTGCGCTCACACGCACCTGCACGTGTCTGAGGGGATGAGGGCAGGAGACAGGAAGGGTGGGAGCCCCTCAGCGCCCCTGACCCCCGAGCTGCGGCCGCCACCTGCTAAATGGTCTCTGCCACTCAGAAACAACGTGAGCAGACACACTGCCAGTGGGACAACCAATCACATCCTGCCGGACACCCTCTGGCTGCGCATACCCTTCCCTGGGCTCAGGGTTGAGGGCCCCACTGTCCCAGATGGACACCGCGGGGGTCCCTGGGCTCCAGCTCACTGGATCCCCTCCTATACACACCCTCACCAGCCCTAGCCCCCATCGCTCACTCACCAGAGCAGCTGCGAGTACCCAGAGGTGTCCAGGAGCATGGCTGACAGGGGACATGGGGGACCCCCGAAGTGGCAACCCACCTGCAGGGAGAGGAGACATCACTGAGGCCCAAAAACTATCCTTAAGAGAGGCTCCTGCCAGGCACACTCACTGGTCCTGACCCATCCCATTTTGCAGACGGGAAGACTGAGGCCTGCTCGGGGGTGGGTGAGGCTGGGACCCCAGGACCCAAAGTCCTAGTCAGCTAGCCACGAGTCCTCAAGCCCCACCCCATGGCTCACCCAGGCTGGCAGTCTCCACATAGTGTGTCTTGAGTCGCTGTGCCTGCCTGGGCCTCCAGCCTCCCTCGAGGGCTGCAGCGGGAGTGCACCTGGCACGGGCCCGGGCCCCATGAAGCAGAGAAAGTGCCGGGGGGACAGGACCTGCACAATGTGCCCTGCCCCAGGTCCTGTGGGAGGGAAAGGGTGAGAACAAAGCCAGGCCTCAGGTCCCTGGGAAGCCAGGTCGGGAGCACGCGCCCCTGGTCCTCAGCAGTCTTCCTAGGACAGGGCGGATGGGCAGGGCAAGCTCACCAGGTTGGGCTCCTTCCCAGGTGGGCACTGCCACGAGGTCGTTGACAGTGGAGAGGCCAGAGGCCAAGGCAGCAGCTGGAAGAACAGCGGGCAGGACACACTGAGAGAGCAGAAAGTGCTGGGGTGCGGCACCTCTGGGGTCAACCTGGGGCCAGCCTCCAGGTTTCAGGGACACTCTCTAACCTCCCTCCCTCATGCTGCAAATAAAACCTGCCTGTCCTAGGCGAAGAATGAAGGGGAGTAAGTCAGAGGGGGAGACGAACCATGAGAGACAATGGACTCTGAAAAACAAACTGAGGGTTCTAGAGGGGAGGGGGGTGGGGGGATGGGTTAGCCTGGTGATGGGTATTAAAGAGGGCACGTTCTGCGTGGAGCACTGGGGGTTATACACAATGAATCATGGAACACTACATCCAAAACGAATGATGTAATGTATGGTGATTAACATAACAATAAAAAATTAAAAAAACAAACAAACAAAAAACCTGCCTGTCCCATACCTGCTGCATCGCCTGCGGCCTAGGTAGAAAGAAAACCCTATCCCTTTCTGGAAAGTGCTGGAAAACCCCAGACAGAGCCAGATCAGGATCTCAAGCCCTCAGGTCCCTGAGTCACACCCATTCCAGCTAACCAGAATGATAAAGAGGAAAGGCTTCCGAATTCCTTTCTCAAGTACTGTCCCCCTTCCTGCTGCTGTGGCCCTCCCCCCCCCCCCCCCGCCAGCCCCTGTTCATCATCCTGGGGGCCAAGTCTGCAGCTGGTGCTTCCTATTCTGGGCCCTCAAAGGAGTCTTTGGGACCACATCCTCCGTGACCTTTCCACACAAAGCCAGCCAGTTCACACTCCTGCACCCACACAGGGCGGGATACATCCCAAGGAAGGGATCTCAATTTGCAGCCCCCGGCACATTCCACTGAGAGCTCCCTCTGCTCCACATTCCAGAATGAACTACCTGCCCTGAATCCCTCCTGCTGTGGGGAGATGCTCCCTGCAACCTGTTTTCCAGTCTGGCCCCAGCTTGGGGTAACAGGCACGGAGTAAAGCCAGCTGCCCTGAAGGGCAGAGGGAATATCACGTAGGAGGCTCTGGGGCCCTCCTCAGGCCCCAGATCTGGCTCCCATCACCTGCCACGCTGTGTAATCAACCCTGGCATGGCTCCTGGCATGGGGTCCCTGAGCACGGAGGGCTGGGGTACAGGGCTCTGTACCAGGATCCCATCCCCAACTCACCACAAAAAGGCAGGACAGGGGCCAATGTGGCGGGCTCAGCTTCATCCTCAGGCCCCTGGGAAAGAAGGAGGAGAGGCTCAGCAGGAGGTGGGAGTAGGCAGGCAGCTGTGGTCTGCCCTCCCCGCACTGCTTCCAGGACAAGACCAGATGGCAATTTGCAAGGTGTGGGGCAGGCTAAGCTGGGGTAGTTTGGCCTAGACTCACCACACTCCCTCTTTCCCCACAAACCTGCATAGAGGTGGGGGTGCGCTGGCTGGGGCTAGCCTCCCAGGGCAGCAGAGGGGGGAACAGAGGGCTCTGCCAGGTTTGGGGGGCTTCCCGGAGGAGGAAGGGCTTCCTTCCCCTTCCATAAATAGCCAGGTGCACTGGGACAGGGGCAGGGGGGCCTGGGAGGAAGGAAGCCTGCAGCAGCACTCCTGGGGGTTTGGGCTGAGAGGGCCTGCCATCCTCTCATGCCCAGACCCTCACGTCATCTCTAGCTCCCAGGCTCCCACCCCTTGGACCTCCTTGTGGGCCCTGGCCTTTCCTGCTTTTCTGCCTTCACTTTTGCGGTTTCTGCTCCAAGGAAGGCCCTTTACCCCAGCCACCAAAGACCAACACGAAGGCCTCTCTTTCCAGAAGCATCTCTAGATTTCCCTTTCCCCAAAGCTCCTGCATGTCTCCCCACCCCACCCCGTCACAGTCCTGGCCCCCCTACGTGTCCCATTCCCCACCCGGCGGTCTTCTCCGCTGAAGGGTGTGGACGGATGTGTCCAACACTGGGGTGGGTCTGACTGCATCTCTGGGGCAGGAGCAGACCTTCTGCTGTCCTAGCGGCCAGCATTCAGCCTTCTGTCCTCTCTTGGTCACCTACTACTGCCCTTAGCACAAGTAGTAGAACACAGACACTGTCCCTGTCCTCAGGGAGCTCACATCCCTGTTGACCACTGGCCAACAGATGAACGGGGAACGTCCCCCTGCCAGATGGTGGGGAGTGCCAACAAACAATAAGGCAGGGTGAGGGTGCAGACGGCCACTGGCCAAAGGCTGAGCACCCAGGCTCGGGGTATGGCATCCTCTGGAGAGAAGCCTCTAGCCAGTACACAGCTTGAAAGAGTAGGATCGGGGATTCGGTTTAGACAACGAAAGGGGCCGCGACAGAACGAGGGAGCCCCCGTCACGTATTTCCAGGAAGCCTGCCTCCAGGCTCAGGAAGGGGAAAGCAGCTGGATTTGTCGGGCCTCGGCCACAGGCCACACAGCTTCCGACCCCTAAGGGGCAGCCAAGCCCCCGGCCCAGGGCCCCCAGCAGAGTGAGGGGACCCCACCTGGAGCCCCGTTGCTGCCCAGTGCCGAGCCCGGCGGGAGAAGCGCTGCACGCAGTCCAGCCCGGGCCCCACGCAAGCCCCTCGGACCTACAGGTGGCCTGGCCTTCCCAGGAGCCCGAGGAAACTGATCCCCTCCCGGCCGGGGCGGGCAGCCAGGGGTTTGAATTACACCACAGAGGAGGGGGAGGGGCTGCAGGCACAACAGCCAGGGACTCTCCAGGTCACTGGCAGCGCCTCTGGGCCCAAGGCCAGCTCAGGGGAAAACGGGACAGGAGAAGGTTGGGCCACAGCATTAAGGCCCCACCCTGGCAGTCAGCGCCCACCAGGCGGCATACCCGGACCCAACCCCGCCCCCCCCCAGGCCCATCGCTCCTCTGACTTGGTTACAAGTCTTCCTTTCCAGTTTCTGGCCCAAAGTGGCCCTTCCCCTACCCCAGGCCCAGCTCCCACTCAAGCCCTTCTCCGCATGAAGATCCTTCTTCATAGGATCTAACCCACAGACTTGACCACGAGCCCCGAGGCTTCAGGCTGGCCCCACAGGGGCCGGGGCCGGGGTGAAAAGAGGCACAACAGCTCCAGCGGAGCGGGCCCCAGTGCCACCTCTGGCCCTGCCTGGCCCCCACTGGGTGACCCGAGCCCACAGGAGGGGCTGTGCAGCTGCTTACCTCCAGGCAAATGGGGAGCTGTGATCTCGAGACTTCCAGAAGGAAAATGGGGGTCCAAAGGCCAGACTCCCAGCCAGCAAGGGCCCACTCAGGCACATTCACAGACACCCGCCGCCTAGCGCCCTGACGCCTTCTAATTACGTGCCTTCTAATTATCCCAAACTGGTACTTACTCCAGTCTGGCTGCCAGAGTCTCTGCTGACAGCCGCCCCCCTCCCCAGCCCCCACCTGCAGCCAGATGGAGCCCCCCCCCCGATGGACCTGTCCAGGCAGGCAGCCCATGCCGGCCACCCAGAAGCCCCTCCGTGCACACACCTGCTGTTCTGACGGCCCTCTGTGCCCCCTTCCCCACAAGGCCTCCAGCATCTAAGCCTAGAATCTTGGAATCTTGACTGAAAAGCAACTTCAGATCAAAGCCCCTTGGCTGGTGGGTGTCCGTGAAGTCTCCACCCCTACTCCTCTGCCTAGTCCTAAGGCCAGGCAGTCAGTGACCTTCCAAAGTCTCCAGAGGGCCCCCAGGAAGAAGACTGTCACAGGCAGGCCGACCAAGGCCCACAGCAGGGAGCCTCCTAGCCTGGGCCTGTCCCCATTGCCACCAACTCCCTGTGGGACCTGAGCCCTTGCTTCACCTTGCTGGGTCTCAGTATCCTCATCTGCAAGATGGGGACAGTTCTCTCCCAGGGCAAGACTGCGCTGAGTTTACAGAAGGTAATGAGCCTAACGCCGGTCCTGTGATTTCCTCCCCCATGGCTCCCTTCTTTCCCTCTGCACCTCAGGCCCAGGTTTGTAATTAAGTATTTGTTTGCTTACGTGTTTCGTGCTGCTCCCCACCCCCACCCCCACCCCGACAGCAGCAAGGGCAGGGTGTCTGTCTCATTTACCACAAAACCCTCCCCCAGCAGTGTCTGGAGCAGGAAGCCTCTGCAGGACAGGCTGGGGTGGGGGTGGGGGCTTCCTCACAGGCAGTCCACCCCCACCTCCAAAAATGCCCGAACAATCAGACCCAGAAATTCCCTGGAAGAAAACCAGCTCGGGAAGCCATGACTAGGGCGGCGGAGCCCCAGGGAGGTGCAGCCCTGGAGGCCTCAGAGAAAGGGGAAGCTGGGACACCACCCAGCCCTGGGGGCAGCTTCCCCTTCCCAGAGCTGCAGCTCAGTGGGGTCACGAGGCCCCAGCCTGGGGCTCTCCTCTCCAGGCTCACTCTCCAAGCTCACCCTGGCCTCCCACAGAAGCTCCACAGTATCCTAAAGCTCTCCCACCTCCCAGAGGTCACCCACCGCCCCTCGCCCTTGGCCCCTGGCCTCCAGTCCTGCCCCAAGTGCAGCCTAGGTATCTTAACATTGGGATCTGGCCCCTGCACCACCACCCCCCCGCCCCCGCCAGCCATTCTGGGCTTCTTTCACTCCCTACACTTGCCTCTCTCACCGAGCCACTGGTACCTGCTGTTTCCTCCACCCAGAAAAACCTTCCCATCACCTGCCAACACCTACTCTTCCTTCAGAGCTCAGCTCAAAGCCACTTCCTCCTGGAAGCCCCCCTTATGCATTCATCATCCGCACGTAACCATCCTGTTTACCCAGCCTCTTCCCCAACAAACTCTATGCCCAGTGCTCAGCACAGGGCCTGGCTCCAGTGAGTGGACAGGTATATAGTGAACTGGGGATAGCTAGGGGGCGGATGCGGAACAGGGATCAGGGGTGTATGTAGCTCCTGCCAAGGCTAGGAGGGCCCAGAGGCTGGGGTTAGGCAGGGGGGTTTGAAACTGGATCTGAACACCTGAGCTAACCTGGGGGACAATCAGCCTGCCTTGCTCTGCTCTTCACTGGCTCTGTGGCTGTGGACACCCCCTCTCCCACCAAGACAGAGGGCTGTGGTGAGGCCAAGAGACTTCACCTTAAATACTCAGCACAGGGCCTGGCACAGAGTCACCCCTCAATAAGCATGCGCCATACCTCAGTTTCCCCATGTGTAAATTACAGAGCGGGGCACAGGGCACCCTTGACAGGCAGGTGTAAGGTATACAAGCTTCTTCTCCGTTTACGTGCAATGCTTGGCCCAGAGCCTGGCACACAGGTGCTGGATTAGCCACGGTGAGGGTCTGGGAGGAAGGAGGGTGTACGAAGGGAGAGAGGTCTGGAAAGGTAGGGGTCAGAGCCCAGGTCACACCAAGACTTGGATGCAAGCTGAGAAGCCTGCACTGCCCTCGGGGCCTACGGGAGAAGGGTTAGGAGGCGGGGAGAGGTATGGAACAATTTGCCTCTCAGAGGGCTCCCTGGGCTACCTGCCAAGGAGGCAGGACTGGGGAGACAGAGGTGGGAGGCAGGTCCCCACATGGAGCAGGGGGTGGGAGGCAGGTACTTCTGTTCCCCAGCCAGGGGCTCTAGGGCCTGTGGACCTCCCTGTAGCCTCCAGAGGCTAGAGTTGCCTGGAAACACATCTGGACACAGGCCTTCCTTGGCAGTGGCCGAGTCAGAAAGACAAAGGCCGCCCATCAATAGGGAGATCCAGGTTAGCAAGCAACCCGGTGGTTCCCTGGCAACTGGGGCTGAAGTAGGGCAGTGTCCACAGTGGGCGGTGGTGAGGGCAGCTAGGCCTGCCTCTTCGCCATCTGCCACCCTCGCAGGGAAGGCAACTGACTCTCATTCCCTTGGGGTCTGTCTGGGTTGCTCTATACCCTCACAGAAGAGGTGAGCATCCCGGTTTCACACCCAAGTAAACTGAGGCCACAGGCGATCACTCGTATGGGTCACAGAGCCAGGGAGTGGTGATGCAGGGACAGAGCCTAGGTCTGGCTGATTCTCCTTCCCCCCTCACTCCTGACCCCTCTTAACCTGGAGCCTAGTCTAGGCCCCGGCATGTAGCGGATGTTCTCCGAGTGATTGTCAGCTCGACGGCAGAGGCTAGGGAGCTAGCGGCCCACAGAAGCGGTTCATGGAGAGGCTATTACAAAGCAGCCAGGCGGGCCCCCGGGGAGGAGGTGCTGCCCACCCCCCCTGTCCCCGGGGGTCTCTGGGGCCTCTGGGGCTTCCCTGCAACCATCCTCATCTACGTACTGCCCTAGTCTGCACCAGCTCCTGCAGGAAA